CTACCTTTGGTCGTATGTATTAAATGTGGCGTTTCCAAGGCATATACCCTGCATCGGGAAATCATTGTGCGCTGTATTGAGAAAACAACACGGGGTTGAGACTTGAACAACGAGGAATGGACAAGCAGTTTTCAGATGATCGCATATCTACTCTTAACTCTGCATTGTCATTTTCTCTATCTATGTCGATGTCTTCACCGCAATATTCCTCCGTAGTGCTGACTCAAATTGGCGGGCTGATCATACTCGCAGCTCTCATCCAAATAATCCTCAATACAAGCCCATCGCTATACCTTCACTCCCGTCCACGAGAGCATGCCCACTCAAAACCGACCAAGCACAGCATTCATTCTTGCCCTTTCCGAATTCCAGAGATCTGCATGAACCTTTGCGATCTTCTCCATTAGATCTGTGATGGTCTCATAGCTCGCCCCCAACTCTTTCTGTTTTGCCGCTATCTTCTCCATCCACTGGACTCTCATCTCATTGTGGTGTCCCCAGGTACATCCGAGGGCGACATCCTCGGAAAGCATAACTTCTTCGCGGTGATGGATGAACTTCCACAACTCCGCCCGTTCTTCGCATAGCATTCCGCACACACTATATTGATGCCTGATCTTGGTCATGAGACGGGGGTTAAGTATCTTCCACAATAGAGTGCTGATCAAAAGTCGGCCGATCGTGATCGGTATAGCGGAGCCACAGGCCTGGTGTTCTTTTGGATATTCTTCCTGGGGAATACATTACAAGATTCGGGTTGGTGCTTCGCGTAAGGTTGTCAGCGGTGCTCGCGGGGCGGTAGTGTTTGTGGCTCCGGCCCTCTTTCGTCTTATCGTTCTCATACATCACAGGTGGCGCAGATGCCGGTCTGGATGGTTGGATAAGAGGAAAAGACGCTTCCTGACCTTTGGTGAGTGGTTCCATGGCGGTGCTGGGTAGGGTTGAGAAAACGAACCATTCAGGTTCGGGGTGAGCAGGTTGGAAAAGAACAAGATCCAGGTTGAGGATGAGCAGAGACTTGATACTGGATATCCGAGAGGTGAATCACGTTTTGGAAGTATTGCCCAGTGACCGCCATGACGGCTAGTGACAGTCGCGAGTGACAGCCGCTTCCTCAATTGTGCAACTTCCAACAAAGGATTTTTATAGTAGCAAACATATCTACGTCCAACACCTGAGAGTATCAAGGGTTTTAATGGTTCTCTTATAGTGTGTCTCGTTCCCCATTTTCTTGTCGGTAGGCATTGCTGGGTTATTTTGCAATGTTTAACATATCACGTACAATGTGGCATAGGTACTTTATGATGTGACAATAGGGCAAACGTGCCTGCTTCTGCTTCTGTATTCGATCGTTATCTCCATGGGAGAACGTTAGTGCTATCTAGGACCACTGCATGCTTCTCTCTCATTGTCCATCGCTGGGACCCGCGGCCGCAGCCGCAGCCTCAGCAGCAACGTCTTCCTCTGCCATCAATCGCTCGGTGGCATGACGACGTTTGTGGTACGTCTGCTTAAGGGCCTCCAGGGTACGCTCGGGGAAAGCCTCCTGCAAGAAAGTTACTACTTGATCAAAAAGAAAATTTGGGTGATCAAAAGGGTTCACTTACCGCTATGGCGGCCCATTTGGCGCCGCCATTGCGCATTCTCACCAGGCGACGGAGTTCGTCGCCGCGCCAAAACACATACGACGGAGTGGTAGTCTCCTAGAATCTGGTTAGTAGGGTTTGACTTGTTTGAGAAAAGGATGTACTTACAATTTGCTCGGAGCTGGCGGGAGCAGGCGTAGTGATGGCAGCTGGGGCGGGAGCGCGATCAGCGGACTCAGCGGTGGTAGTAGCGGCGGTGGTAGCGGCGGTGGCGGCAGCGGTTGAGCGCGTGGCATATGGATGCGAGGTTTCCGGCTCGTTGGGAGCAGAGCCACGGCTGGTCTCGTTACGGTCGCCGGAAGATTCAGCCAGACTTGCCTCTAGCCAGGGCCGATGCCCAGGACGCTCGGGCAGAGGAGTCCGTCCCTTAGCAAGAGCTTTCTCCTGCCAGGGTTGCATTTTGAATTCGTGACTGAATGTGTATAGTATGTCGATTTTTGTTCGTATTTATAAAGACAAGTGACTTGGTTGAGATGAAGCAGATGATGAAAGGAAGAGGACGAAAACCTGAAGGCGACGAGTAAATAAATATTCAAGTCATTTCCTAGCAGCAGGTGCATCTGCAAATTCTTGCCAGTGCTTGGCAGTGTTGACAATACCCTATGATTTAGGTGACTACAATAGGCTAACAATAGTGGTAACAATAGCCAGAGAAAGAGGGGAACCGGCCGCATGAATCAAGGAGCAAATATATCAATATGTTCACATTGGTCCGTGACTTGAATGGCCTAGAGTGGGTGTTCTCTGTATCTGGTGTTGCCGCTCGTGGTTCATCGGCCGTCTCCATTGTCCAAATAATTTATCTAACAAATGAATCATTGTTCGACAGATGAACAACTGTATATAATAAATGAACAATGGAAATTTAGAAAGAACAATTCTTGACCAAGTATACAATAGTAGTACCTAGATAAAAGAGTATACTACTAGTAAAGGAAAGAAAGAGAGATGGAAGACACAACTTGATATTTCTTCTTGAGTTGGAATCACCCGGGGATCATATAGGCCAGCTAAATCTCCAAAAGACCAGAACCTTTCTTGTGTTTGACATTTGGGCAATGTGTAGCTACCCAAACATGCAAGCGTGAAATGGAAAGCATAGCATGGATGTCATGTTTGGTGTGTCTTCATCGCCGGTAGTCTGCATCACAGGAAACACACAAATTTGGACACCATGTGGAGACAGCAAATTTGCTTGAAAGATAACTACCAAGACAAAGATCACAATGCAACAACAATCACAGAGACAAATGTGTCACGGCAAAGGAGGAGTCACTTGGTCATTCAATACGTTATCAGTTTCATTCAATTGAACATGATTCTTGTTGCTTTCCTTCGTTATTGTTGTTTTCCAATCAATTAACAGTACAATGCGGTACCTCATTCCTAGCAACACACTTCGCCGTCTGAGCCGAGTTGATCTTGATCCAAACGCCCTTCTTGTAAGCCTTCTCACTCCCCCTCGGTCCAAACTTGACGTAGTATGTTCGGTCGGCAAAGCAGAAAGCATCGACGTCAGTGCGAGGCTTGTGGAAGAAGCCACCTCGTGAGGAGTTGGCTCCCAAGAAGTACTGTTTGCACTTGACAGGCTTGCCGCCGCTACTGAGTTGACAAAGGTGGTCTTTCATTCCGAGATCGGCCCATTTGGCGGTCCATGGTGTGCTGTTTTCGAAACGGCCGCAGGGAGGGGTCTTGCATTGGGATGCTTCGACGGGGGTGGTGGCGCCGAGGAGGATGGCTCCGAAGGAGAGAATAGCAGAAGGCTTCATCTTAAGAATGGTCTTGAAGTGGTGTTCACTGGAATAATGTGTTTCGCAGTAGTTCTGAGGATAGAGATAGGACTTTTGGTTCTATGCTGACCTCGAGATCATCGCTACCAATTTATACACAACCTAATCCCAACCATTTCACCGCCGCAGCCCAACAGCATGAACAAATCCCACGATAATTAAATTTAGCAGTCAGTGTACCACAACAGTGCAGAAGCTGAACAAGAGTTGCTCCGTGCTTACAGCCACAGAAGCCAATCACTTGGCACAGCGTGGTGCGGCTGAGGACTGAAACAACTAACCCCAAGATCTAGACCGTGTGGCGTTTCTGCAATATCGTGAAGTCAAGTGCCGATAGGTCTATACACCGGATGAACTACCTGGAGAGGAAGGTGGTAACTTTATATAGAATTGCTTCTCATGCTGCTTGAATTGTTGAAATGGCCCCCAATGGCCCCCAAGATATCACGGGATTGTCACTTGGGACTCATGAGTGGAAGGCGGTAGACACAGCTCCTTCACCACACGGAGACTATTTATTTCGAATGAACAGTCTATTCCAGGAACAGATTCCTCTCTTGTCTATCTTGCCATCAGCGCAACAACCTGGATAGAATCATCAGGGCTGGAAAGCTTAGCGCTGAGCTAATTTTAATTGAGCTTCACTAGCTAGGATACGACAGGGATAATGCTGTGCATAAGGCTACAGTACATTTACCCGGTATTTGGATCCTGGAGACAATTTTCACTATTCACCGCATTTGCCGGGCCAGAATGTTGCTGTGGTTGTGTTCTGATCGTGATGTCTCCAAGGCTTGCAACCTGCTTCAAGGCAGCCCGACACTTGAGATGCAGCTAGGTCAAGACCGCCGTTCAGCCTCATCTCGCAAGACTAATGAAGCAAATCACCTTTTATGTCGCACAGTGAAACCCCGACGAATATTCATGTGCCTGAAATACCGGAACGGACCTCAGTGTTGGGTTGTCTTCTTCGTCTCGATATAACAGGAGGCTTATCGCCTTATCGATTGTTCGTCTTCTTATCTTATCGATATGATCTTATCAGCCATTCCTGAACGAGATAAAAATCGCGCTCAGACACGTGCAGTGACATCATGGGGATAGAGCGGGTTTACACATGTCGATTTTCTGTTACTGCAGGGTAATGTGCAAGCTTCTGGGCTCTGGGCACAATTGAACACGATATGCTTCAGAGGAATGCGCGGTATCTGATAACTGCAAACTGACTGTTCTTGTTCTTTCTTTCTTTTTTTTATTGACAGTGAAGAGGAAATCAGTGATCGTTGGATATGTGTACTGCAGTTACAAACCGGTTTATCCTGCGTTCATCTTTGCATCTTGAAAACCCACATGGTTTGCGAGTGTGCTTTTGGCGCTCTTGTTTATCAGGATAAAATGGTATTACCCATTGAAGCATATCTCAAAACCCACAGACATCTCCTAGCATTCGTCCTTGCTGCCCAGCGCCCGTTCCTGAGCCCGTCCCTGACGTTATACCATCGTCTCGTCTCCGCAGCCCGCAAATCCAAGATGGAGTCATCCTCAGATCCTCCTATCCCTGTTGACGATCCCCCCCACTTCAGACGCGACTCTGTTTCACGATCAAAGACCATCAAGACTCTCGTATTCCAACCTCTACCAAAATTGACGATGGCGTCAATCCTTTTGCACCTGCTGTTTCATCTCACAAACAAGCCTCACTGTTAATTGGCGGCGCCTCTCCTCCGTGCGCAACCACGTGGACCTCAGGGTCGGAGTGAAACATCCTGTTCGGATCGCGTCCTGATAGGCTGAGTCACAGACCATGACTCGAGCACGCATCGGCCGTCTCCTTAAGTGCAAACTTTATCGACGCCACGACTGCATCCCCTCGGCAGTGTTCCACGAAATGAGCTTTGCTTTTGGGTTTGACTGCCGGAGATGAGAAATTGGAATGTTGAAGGAAGCCGCAGGAGGAAAGCCTAACGCACGTGGCTTTTACAAAGGGGTTCAATGTTTCCACAGCCCACTGCATGAATGACATATCGTATGCCGAGTCATGGTTATCTTCCGCCACTCATAGCACGGGTCATCATCGTCATAGACACCCAGCATAACTTTCATCATCATCCTTCCGGGGACACCAGCTTCCGGGTAATGCGTCCTGCGCCTAAGCCGGCTCACGGATCGTACCCGCAAGGGTTCCTCAACTCTGCCCGAATGCGGTTCCACTAGCCGCAGCGCCGTTGTTCAGTAGACGCGAAAGAGGGCACTTGACGATCCAATGAAAGCATCAAAAATACTCCCGAAGTGGCAACACTGCCCCGTGCGGCCGAAAACTTAGTAGTTACAGTAATCAAAACTCTAGCGCTATCCACTTGAAGATCTTTTGAGAGGGAATCAATTCGTTTTAGAAAGGGGTCGTGCGTATGTCTCTGCGTCTTTAATCCCGCTATTCCTCTTTCTTTCCCACCTTTCCTTCTCTTTTCCTGAAATCGAAATCTGGAGATGTCCACATTCGTGATCCTGGATGGGGGATCGAATTAATGCTGCAGACAATGCATGATGAGGGTTGAAACGCTGGCTACATGGGTTGCTTGTGCTGCGGTATCTGTCGGGGCAGCGGCTTCTGTGGCGAATGAGAGTGATGCCCAGGTTAAAGCGACGATCAATGCTTCTCCAAAATGCGCGGTAAGCAATCTAATCTCCCATCTACCGAGACATTCGCTCATAGTGTCACAGCAAGAATGTCTTGTCGCGGCATTGCATTCAGACTGCGATTTGCAAGATGAAAAAAGTTGCATTTGCCATTCTCAAGATTTCCACGCGGATTTGATCTACTGTATGGGACAGCATTGTCGCGCCCCTGCTATTTTCGGTATGTTGCCTCTTTTGATGATTTGCATCCAGGATCAAGACCCCTGACAGAGGTCCAGCTTCTCTGCGCCAAGTCGATGCTTTATGCGAGCGCCCGATACGCGACCGTCGAAACGATGCCTGGCCATACATTTCTATACATATTATGTCTATTCTTTGTACCGTTATTCGCATTTATACCAAAGCGTTTCTTGTCAAGCAGTTTTCGCCGGAGGATTGGTTATCTTTGACTTCTTTTATTATCTACATTGTTTATTTTGGTATTGGACATCATGGTAAGGCGATTCAACGACAGTTATAACAGCAAGTCACTGACAAGTATAGCTTTAATGTCTGCTTTTGGTCAGGATATTTGGCAAGTCAACGCAGAAGACTTGTCACATGCCCTCAAGGTACGTCCACCAGCACTTGATACTCAAATCACCTTAGCTAACGTGCTCAGCTATTCTGGATCGATTGCCCTTTCTACAGCCTTCTGATGGGAATGACCAAAGTCACCATCATATTATTCTACATCCGACTATGCCACGTCTACACACGATTCTGCCAAGTCTGCTGGGCCATCATCATCATCGTGTCTCTCAACACCATCATTTTCATGTTTCTCAACATATTCCAATGCACGCCGATACGCTGGAACTGGGATCGCTTCAGCGGACACGATGTGGATTATAAATGCATGGATCTCAACATGCTCCAATGGGCGATCAATATTACAAATATCATTTTTGATGTGGTGGTCTTGGCGCTCCCGATACCACTCGTCTGGAGGAGTATGTGTTTCCTGAAGTTGGTGAGAAGAAATATGCTGACACTTTCTAGTGCGATCGACACTACGCCGAAAAATCGCCATCATCATCATGTTCAGCCTCGGCGTCGTCGTCCTAGTCGCCAGCTGTCTAAAAATGCGCTACAACATTCTCTACGGCCACTCCACCAACATAACATGGGATTACATGGACCTAATGGTCTGGGCCGGCATCGAAAGCTCCGTCAGCATCGCCGCGCCCTGTCTTCCCACAGTACGATTATTCCTACACAAAGTGTTCCCACAATCGTTCGGACGCATGTTCGCTTTTGGATCACACGCGGATAAAACGCTCGACGACCATATTAAAGCAGAGGAGGAAGAAGTTGCGCAGTGGGCTGCGGATCTGGAAAAACCTTCTGAAGCTTCGATGGTTAATGTTCTTGTCAGGCCGAGAAGAGCTGCGATTAGCTTGGGTCATGACTTTGCACCTTCGAGAGGTGGGAGGGGCGGCAGAGGAGGACGGAAAAAGCCTATGACTGAAGCGAGTAGAATTCTTAAAAGTGTTGATGAGTTTGATGAGATACCACTGGTCAATTAGATAACGACCAGACAACTACAATTTCTTAATGTATACGTATGAATAAACGAAAATTTCCAAGACATAGAAATTCAGCGACATAAACTAACTGATTGGGAGAAACCGTAATTTACTGTGTCGGTTCAGACTGTAATGTTAGACTCACTGCCATTAAAAAAAGGTTACTTTTGTGAGGACTGTTACATACCTAGCCAGTGTGGAAAAAAAAAGTCAAAAATGAATTGTAAGTGAGAACTCTTAAAGAGTCCGACTTTGTTCAAGTCGACGCGGGCCTGATTCGAACAGACGCCTCCGAGGAGAATAGATTTCTAGTCTATCGCGTTAGACCACTCCGCCACCGCGCCTTACGTAATTGTTGAAGAATAAGTGTCTAGTTGATTACTATATTCGACGTTCAGGAGAAAATTCGACTCTCGCGTCAAGAGACATGCGATTTATCGTGGTGATGTAACATACTTGGGCTTGTGGTTGTCGCTGCTTTTCGTTGCTGTTGTGTTGATGAGACGGATTGGCCCTGTAATTGGAATAGAATTAGGGGATCGATCTGAATAACGGAGCTGTTCTGCTCAACGGCTCGCATAATGACGTCATCGTTTCTCTTCCAATGCTCTTCCATAGATACGAACCATTAATCTACCGTCCATCTTAGGCGTGGTACTCAACCGTATGAGCAAATTCGGGGTCGTAAGACGACCAGTCCCCTTACAAGAAGCTGTATTGACCATCATCCGCGACTTCCCAATTCGACTAGCCCCCGATCGGCTCCTCTACCGCGGCCCCAGAACCAACCGATATCCTACCATGTGATGATCATACCACCTCATTGACCATCCCAAAACAAGAACCATATACTGAGAAGAGCATAGCTGTTAAAACGGCCCGAAAAACGTATACCGTGCCGCAGTTCGTAATTCAATAGATCAGATGAGAAGGACCGATGCCATCGTCAAGACTAGACCCAGGAAAGCATCTGGTATGCGGGGGATCTGGGGACCTTACCCCAGAAAATACAACGAGTGTCTGGGGTTGACAACTTCATTGGTGGATCAAGGGCGCTTGCTCTCGGCGTAATTTATAGCTTGCGCGAATGAATGCGGAAGCTCCTGTTGTTTACTTGTGATCGGACCTTGATCATTTGTATATAACCTTGATGGACTTACGATGATTAATTGATGGAGCAGCTCACTCTCTATCAAGTTCTTGTCAATCATTCTGGTCGTTGAAAATGTTTACTCAAGTTCTCTACGGCCTGGCTGCCGTCGCGTTATGGCAGGGCCAAGTCGCTGCCTCCCCAAGCAAGGACAACTCCCTCGAGAAGTTCATCACCAAACAAGCCGACATCTCCATCAAGGGTGTTCTCGCCAATATTGGCTCCGATGGTAAACGAGCACAAGGTGCAGCGCCTGGTGCCGTTGTCGCAAGTCCATCGCGACAGGACCCTGATTGTAAGTCAACCACTTCTCCATTCCATAATCATGCTAATGATCTTCACAAGACTGGTACACGTGGACTCGCGACTCAGCTTTGACATACAAAGTCCTCGTCGAGCGCCTCATCCACGGCGATAAATCCCTCCAGCGCAAAATAGACGAATACGTCTCCGCCCAAGCCAAACTCCAGAAAACCACAAACCCATCCGGTAGTCCAGAGTCAGGCGGTCTCGGCGAGCCAAAGTTCCACGTGAACCTCACCGCTTTCACCGGATCCTGGGGTCGTCCTCAGCGTGACGGTCCTCCTCTTCGCGCTACAGCCTTGACCCTCTACGCAGAGTGGCTCATCTCCAACGGAGACAAGTCCAAAGCCGTGAACAAGGTCTGGCCAGTGATTGAGAAAGATCTTGCGTATACTACCAAGTTCTGGAATCGCACTGGGTATGATCTTTGGGAGGAGGTTAACGGATCTTCGTTCTTTACGCTTTCCGCTTCGCATCGGGCTCTTGTTGAGGGAGCGGCTTTGGCGAAGAAGTTGGGCAAGTCGTGTCCTGATTGTGCTGCCAATGCTCCTCGCGTTCTTTGCTTCATGCAGAGCTTTTGGACGGGTGGTTACATTGACTCGAATATAAATGTGAAGGATGGTCGCAAGGGTCTGGATGCTAATTCCATCCTTTCATCGATTCATACATTTGATCCCAACTCCAAGTGCACCGACTCGACATTCCAGCCTTGCTCGTCGCGAGCGCTGGCCAACCATAAAGCTGTCGTGGACTCTTTCAGGTCCATCTATGGTGTTAACAAGAACAGAGGTAAAGGCAAAGCCGCGGCTGTTGGTCGATACAGTGAGGATGTGTACTACGACGGCAACCCTTGGTACCTGGCCACCCTTGCTGCCGCTGAACAATTATACGCTGCTCTCTACCAATGGAATAAGGTTGGGGCGCTCACAATTGACGATGCCTCCTTGTCTTTCTTCCGCGACCTTGTGCCTAAGGTATCCAAGGGCACTTACAAGAAGAACAGCAAGATATACAAGGAGATTGTCAAGGCTGTCAAGGCCTACGCTGACGGATTCGTCGCTGTTGTCCAAACCTACACTCCTAAGGATGGTTCACTAGCCGAGCAATTTGACAGAGCCACTGGCACTCCCAAATCAGCGGTTCATCTCACCTGGTCCTACGCGTCCTTCGTCGGCGCAACTGAGCGTCGCTCCAGCATCGTCTCTCCCTCTTGGGGCGAGACCTCCGCCAACAAGGTCCCCGCGGTATGCGAAGCAGCGCCCGCCTGCGACACAACAATAACCTTCAGCGTCAAAAATGTGGAAGTGTCTTCTGACCAAAAGGTTTACGTTGTCGGCGGTGTGACTGAACTTTCCAACTGGTCACCTGATGAGGGCATCCCACTGACGGAGGGTTCCAAGGGAGTGTGGAGTGCCAAGGTTAATATTCCTTCTGATACGAGCTTTGAGTACAAGTATATTAAGAAGACGAGTGGTGGGGATGTTACGTGGTTGAGTGATCCGAATAATCGGGCTGTTACTGGTAGTAAGTGTGGAAGCGCCAGTACTCTTGATGATGAGTGGAGATAGTGGTTCAGTCAGAGGCTCTATTCGTTCATAAGCGCTTGTTGGCTACTCTCAACCAATACATATTATTTTTAAGTTACCTGCGAAAACCTTATACCTTGGTGAGGCGACATGACGAGCGCGGCGTCGGGGTATTTGTCCCGTATATTGACTCGGTACAATATTGGATTCGCACAAATTGTCGGCTTGGCTGAGTCACTGACGGTGATGCATTTTCATGGTGATTCCTTTCCAGGAACCAGGCGTAGAGTGGCCGCCGAGAACCGAAGAGACGAACGATTTCAAGTATGTCCTGCCGGTTCAGACTGTTAAAGATCCGAAATATTCTCAGATTTCGATTGAAAAAAAGGAAAAATGTTAGAAAGTGAGAGCCTTTTGAGACCTATATCTTGACATCGATATGTGAATGGTTCATGGATGGTGTATCCCCTCGCTTATCAAACCATAATCTTGAAGACAACCTAGGCTCTGAAAATCTTTACTGAGAGTTTCACACAATCCAAGATAAAAGAAAATGCCAGAAAATCTCTCCTCCGGGAATCCTCAAACCTGAACTCGTCCATTTCTTCATCTTCATCCATCAACCGATCATCTCAACTCGAACCACCACGATGGCAGCCCAAGTTAATGTCGGAGGCCCTGTGAACGCCAAGAACGCCATCAAGTGGACGTTAGCTGCCGTTGGCATTGTTATCGCCCTCATCTTGGCCATTTGCCTCTGCGCTGGGGGAAAGAAGAAGAAGAAGGAAGGGGACGAGGACGAGGAGGATTCAACGCCAGACAACCCGTGGGTTTGACGTTGCCGTTTACTATCCCTATCGTATCTCTGCATCGGCCCCGATATTTCTTCTTGTCAGCGCTCTCGTGCGAATAATAAGTGGAAAGGACTGTTTCATGGCACAGGTACATGGACTAATCTGACTTGTTGCCAGCCCCGACCGACCGATTGTACGAGCCGCGAATTACCTATCTTAAATACTTCCTGGGGGACAATTCAAGGGAAAAATTCCAAATTACGCTCGTGTCGTAATCATTGCTGTGGAGGAGATTGAGCTTTTGTTTGCCCTTTGTCATGGTGTTTCTCGGCCGGTACCTTGCAGACTGGAAATGGAACAGGTTTGGAGTTTTGTACGGCAGGACCCTTTATAGCTCGCATGCTCACCAAGCTCGAGTCTGTATCGCTCGTTGTTGTTGAATACAATTACCCAGCAAGTGTGCTCGAGGATGATATGGAGTGACTAAAAATAGGTGCTCCCGTCCTGTACCCCTCCCCGCTAAACCAGCTCCAGCACCAACCTGGACGCCATTTCGCCCCCCTAGCCCCCATCTTCCACTGTACGTACTAAATTAATTAACTTTGACCAACTAAAAAATGCGACGATCATTTTGTGACGGAATCTCGGCACCAAATAATCTGAGAACAGTAAGCATGTGCTTCTAGACCTTCCAGACCAGCCCCTGCTCTTTGTGCGCGAATTATGTATCAGCCAAGGTCAGCAATGCAAGGGAGCGTACAGTATGTATGCCCAAAGCGGGGGAGGTAAGAGCCAAGCCAAAGTAAGGTCGGTCTGCACGAGATATCGTACATCTCACCTCACCTCACCTCACCTGATATCACCGCAACTTTCCCACAACACATATTCTACAATAATTAGTACTCATGGCATCTTCCGACTCTAATCATGACGCAAAGACAACGACGATATGGGGAGTCATTCTTTGCGTGGCTATAATTGTCATCGTCGCTGCGATATGCTTTACCCACAAATCATTACGTGGACAAGCCATTCGTCGCGCACTAGAGGCACAGCTTCCGAGATATAATATCTCTTCTGGGCTGGGAAAGGAGAATGTGGAGAGCATGCCTATCGTCACGTTCAATCCACGGATACATTCTCAGCAAATTGCTGTACCGGCGCCTGCTTTGATGTCGCCCTCGGAAGACTCGCTAGAGACAAAACCTTTGAAGAGAGGACCGAGACTTTTGCCTTTACGGAAATTCTTTACTATTCAGAATATTTCGCGCGACTCTGAGAAAGGTGATGGTGCGGCGACATCACCGGGCGACAGCACGTCGCCAGCCTGCTCAATATGTACCGAGGACTTTATCGAAGGCGCGAGGTTAAGGATGTTACCTTGCGGGCATTTGTATCATCCTCAGTGTATAGATCAGTGGTTGACCGATCGATCTCGCACATGTCCATTATGGTGAGTTATTTGTCGGTATATCCAAGCTGTGCTAATAATTTCGAAGTCGTGTGAATCTTGGATTGAAGAAGCCACCTCCTGCTTTCATCGAGAGCGTTTAGACGGCGGAGCAGCACGAGTTACGAGGTCTACGTTTGGTCACAGTGTTGGGTCGCGATACATTTTCACATTCCTTTGCAAGTTTGATTCGGTGTTTGGTTTTCTACTGGTCTCTTTTGTCTTAGATTTCATGGTTTATCGTTGCTGGCAGCGAGCATCTGAAATACAGTGAACCGTAGTCATCTTGGCTGCGGTATTTTCTCCTTTTCAATTTGACGAGTACTCCTCATAAACTCAGGTGAAGCACAGCAAAATGGATTTCTCTTGTTCGATATCCTTCATCCCAAAACTCACCACCTCATTCAAAAGCACGGATTGTAAATAATTTCACAGACCGCCAAGCAAGAGGCCGCCAGATGACATGTCTCACAATGTCATCTGAAGGTGCTTTGCTGATCATGTCAGATGTCATGATCGACAGGGATCTCCGCACCAAAGACCCTGCATATTTAGTGCCACACGGTACCGTCGCAGTCCTCTAGCTCACTGGTAAGCTGAGGACGATACTTGTGTGCTACAATCAGTGCGCTACAAAAGGACGGATGATCTGGTCTGGAACAGCATCGCCGCAGGCTCACCTTTGCGCTTTGTCGGATACGTCGGATGGGATAAATGCCTCATACAAGACACCAGACAAGATGTTTTTGGGAAATTGGATCGCTGGATTGATTTCTTGTCGCTGGAGTGAATATGTCATAGATTAATGATGTAGGTACAGTACAAGCTGTGGTCGCCATTAGATCCTTGTCTTGTTCTGATGCTCTTGTCTGTTTATTGGATGCGTGCACAGGTCATTCCCGCCGCTAAAAAGCTTGTTTCAATACAACTCATGTGCGACACCCTACATGATCAGAGCTTTATGGTTAAATGGAGGCTTGGCGCTGCTTGAGTACAGAGCTGCTTGCACCAGGGTAGCAGTGCATGAGGAGAAACATTTGGCCGACGTGGTCTGTTGTTTATTGACGGTGAACTTCCCAGTCCGGTTGCACCGTGATCCAGACCTATGGCGGCCCTTCAAAGATGAGCCGAGAGCCCGAAATAGGTGTATTTAAGGAGTGAGGCAATAGACAGTCTGTAGTGTATCGATTAAACCCAACTTCCTGCATATCACACGATTTAACGAATGATGAGTTGCTAACGAGTGTTCCCATCCAGATAGCTAGAACCGTTGACCAAGACTGCTTGAGTACCACATTCAAAGAGCTGTTGCCGAATAAAAAGTGCTATACCTGCACTGATTTCTCAAATGGAACACAGCCCATCGTGAACATTGGCGGGAGTGCTCGATGCTTCTCCCCAATCCAGGTGGGCGATCTTATCCCCAATTGGAGTCGAGCGATCAGCTCGAATATATGACTCTAATGAATATCAATCAGTTATGAGTCTCAATGCAAATCACGAACTTACCCTTTGTAGGATAGTACCACCAATCCTGGGATCTAAAAGCAAGGCCTAGTATTTGAGAACCCACATCGTTCCAGAAAGTATTGCGATCATGAAAGATGGCATGCTTTGACCAACCAACATAAACCTTTGGATGAGCCAGGTATTTCTTCCCATTCTGTCCGCCACGGGGTTTGTTGGCGTCTTTGCTATGGAACGTGTTCTGTATATCCTTCCAGTTCTTCTTGTCGTAGCCTCTGTGTTGGGACATAAATAGCCGCGACTGACTCCAGACGTTGTCTGTACCCCTGGCCCAGACAACGATGACACGTTCCCAGTCACTATGATAATCAGTTTCAAAGTCATGAGATTTGCAGGAGGATTCTCACTAGCGATGTCCACTCCATATGGCACCGTCTTTGTCAAAGAAGATATTATAAGCCACTCTGATCTCGTTGCCGTTTTTGCATTTGGTGTACGTATAGTATATGGGGAAATCTGGCCCAGGATTGCCGATTTTCCTGCCTGGATTGCGACAGTGACAACCTACCTCGGGATAGGCACAGAGGTCTCCGCCTGGGGCTTGCTTGCCTCCCTGGATAGCCCATGTTGGATAGCATGGGGGCTGGTTCCGAGATTGGCCGAAGAACCACATGGGTTGGGCTGCCATGGCGAGTGGTATACCTCCAGCATTGAGCCAGTCGTTCATCTGCTTATCGGGCACAGATGATACAGCCCAGGCTAAAACGAAGAAGATCATAAAGACCAGGTAGCGGAGCATATTCATGGCTTAATGGAAATAAATTGGGGATGGGGGCGTGGGTTGGTAGTTTCAAGCTTGAGACTCTATCGCTGACGGGGCTCCCAAAGGCTCATATAAATACATTTCCAACTGATAAGAATTGGGACACTGAAGTGCTTGTCATTTCGTGCTCTCATCAGCAGAGACTCGATAACTACCAGCGAAGGGAAATCTCGCCATGACGTAGTCAGCGGCAGCCACAATGCACGAGAGAGAAAATGGCCTCGTAGCTCTGCCTCAAGATTATACAGACAAATGGCAGTTACATACAGTCTCTCATGTCAGCCAAGGGGAACAAAAGATCTATGGCCCCTAAAGCGCAATTGGGATCACCGGTGCACTTTTAGAGCAATATCAGGTATTCAGGCAAGGTGCTAAAGGTGTAGATGCTGTTACGACTTTGAAAATGAGCTGTATCATGGTCACTGCAGCAAGGTCAGCGAGCCTGATTTCAACGGAAGCCACAAGAAGAGTACACCAATAAACATGATCCACTGACATCCCGACTGCTAGCACAATAGCCTTCGCCACTGCGGCTGAAGACACATTGTTCAGAAGACAGCAATGGCTCACTGATCAATCCATCGTAGGTACCAATGGTGAGAAGGCTTCTATGTCGTATATGATCTAGGATTAATGTAGTTGTCTTCTACGCTCGAAACATCCGGACGATGCCACAATCTGCAGTAATACCGATTTCTTCCCAGCCCTGGAAGAAATGAGGTAGGCTGTAGCCCGAGCCGTCCTGCACTGAAGTCCATTTACAGGGATATGCACACGCCTCTTGAGCCACAATATATCCTTAGTGCGAATTCGCATCTTCCGGTCTTCTATTCCGGAGCTCGCTTTGTAATTCAGCTTTCTGGCCTCATTTTTATAACCGGTTGAAGCAGGCTCTGGTGGCGCTGGTTCAGTGAAATCATTTGACAAGAGTTTAAAATCCGATGGTCTAAAGTCAAGCCACGATCCTTCGAGTCGTCTGGACCAGAAATGCACATTTGTAAGAAGGAACTGTTGTGCTCCTACAGTGCAACTGAACGCCCAATTATAGCTTTCAGGTGGCAGCCGAACTGTCAAATATGCCTCACTAGTGAGACTCCCCGCCAAAGGGCTACAAAGCAATTATTCACAGTTGGTTTTGATCTTAAGCCACAATGTGACTCTACTTTCTGACCGTTGTTCTTGTGAGACTGGAGACTTCAGCCGCATTCAACTGCCATAACAGGGTACTCCAGGGTTCGCCCTTATGCCTTCCTGCTACATTTCCCTTGCCCAGACCCAACGCCCTTCTACTACGAACAACCATGGCCGACTTCAGGAATCTTTCAGGAGACCCAGGTTTCTCTACGCTCGAGGTCGATCATCGTGGCCCCCACTCAACGCTCGAAGTCAAGCCCGGAGAGGGTATTGAGCCATTCAACTCGGTTCCAACTACGCAAAAGCAATCCGAAGAGCCACTGCCGCTTGTGGTTACGAAGCCTTGGTGGAAGCGGTACTGGCTCGCGATAGTAGTGATCAGCATCCTGGTGACTGGAGGCATAATCGGCGGCGCTGTCGGCGGTACATTGGCAACTAAGAAGGAGCCAAACGATACTGGCAACAGTGAAGAAGCAATCACGACGTCCAGGTAAAGCAAGGTCATTATTTGAGAACATGAACGTCCTAACATGTCTTACAAGTTCCGAGCCGAAAAGCACTACCTCTTCCGAATCTTCAACCACGCCCTCACCCACAACATTGACATCAACTACCATCTCGTACCCTACCGTCAAGCCCACTGCAACACCCGATGCAGATGCTGAGCCCGACGATCCCATCTGGGTAGGCACAAGCGAAGAGAAAGGTCAGAAGTTCCACATCGCATTTGCCTTAGACGGCACCAAGAATGCTTCATGCAACTATGGAGTCATCCCCTTTCCAGAGTCCCAGAATCCCTGTAGCCACTCTGTCCTATTGCCTGACGGATTCCTGTATTCCTGGGAAGGATGTGGAGGCGGGACTTGGATGATGTGGAAGAATCCGGAGAGTGACGACCCTGGGTACCACAAGTTACATGAAGGCAATTGTGAGTGGAAACCCACGACTTTTGACTGTGGCAAGGTTGTGATAAAAGCCAGCTGGCTTTGCGGCAACGATACTCTTGGATAGAAAGAAATTTCATAGTGATATGGTCTTACTTTAAGGATACTAGATGATTAGTTGACAGATCCACTAAAAGAAGATTGTAAGATTCACTCATGTGTTGTGATGTAGAGTCTTCTTATCCGCTCCAGACCAAGGCCCATACCTGCCTAATGCCATGACTTATATTCCAAAAAAGGTCAAATAATTCAGAGAGATTATATTTTTGTTCGGGATGACGATTTCTGATTGCAAGCTTCATAGCAATTCCGCGAATGTTCGTTTTTCTACTCCTCGTCAACATATCTTCCCCACAGTAGTTGAGCCCAGTGAACGTCGAAAAGGCTCTCCTACTTTCCACAAAAAGTGTATTCTGTAAGAAGCACATTTATTTTTACACAGTCGTTGTAGTGTAAAAATATAGGTCATAGGCAAAAAGAGACATACAACAGCGGGGATTCGCTGGTCGTCACCGACCCAACTACTAATCCGCC